TTAACAATACTTACAACCAATACTCATGATCCCCACATTTCTCTACATGGGTGAGGTTATATGATCTACTTTCTTGGGACTAGCCCCCAGGATTAGAAGCCTGCTACTGTTAAGAAAGTCACAAGATGCTGGGCATGGTGGCACATGCCTATAATCCCAGCACTCAGGAGGCTGAGGCAGGAAGATTGCTGCAAGCTCGAGGCCAGCCTCAGCTATATAGTGAATTTCAAGGTTAGACTGAACTTCATAGTGAGATTCTGTCTCAAAAAAATAAAAATAAAACATTGGTAGAAAGAAAGAAAGAGAAAGTCACAGGGTGTTATGGCTTGTGTCTAGATGTCCCTCCACAACCTCATACAGTCATACTGTCATTAGGTGGGAATTTTTCTGGATCTAGAATTTGTGACACTGGGATTGATTCGTGGTGCAATGCTAGGATCAATGGCACTAGGACTAAGAGTGTGAGTACTACTGCCATAAGTGGTCTGGATAAGATATATGGGACAGAAAGACCTGTGATTGTCCCTTGCTTGCTTTGCTACTTTATGCCTGCCATGAACTGTTCTCTTCTGCGATGCGCCTCTGCCATGTCACCCTGCCTTGGAGCCAGCCAATTATGGACTGAAACCTTTGCAAACTATGAGCTAAATAAATCATTCTTCCTTTAACTTTGGGTGTTAGGTATTTTGTTTCAGCAACGAGAAAAGTAATTAAGAAACAGGGTTTCCATTGGTCCTAACTGTAGTAATCTGATTTGCAAAATATACTGGGAACAATCTCTCAGGGATGAATAGGATGAGCTCATATAATCATAGGAGGTTGTGGTCTGCTTCCTGAGGTCTCAATGATACTCAGTAACTAGACACATTCATGTTACAGCTCTCTGCCCTAAAACTTGAGACACGTGCTCCTGGGTCCCTGCTTGAATAGGAGAGTCTGGCTCATTAGAGGATCTTTCCAAGCCACACCTTGACCTCTACTTCAGGAGGTTTGATAGCACTGTATCGAACCCTGTCTCTCCATCACACCAATCATAAAGTAGAAATAAATGCCAGGGTATGGGAAGGCATGCAGGTAAACGGCATCTGTGCCCAGGGGGGATAGGATAGGCTAGAGACAGTCTATGCTTGCATCATAAGAGCACGGGCACAGATCATCTGTGGGTTGGGCTGAAAAAATAGTAAACTACTGCAGAATGTTATCTCCAACTCCAAGACACGCAACATTTAGTTCTGTGACTTTGAGAACCTCCATAACACAATGTACAATGAGATGAAGACTGGAAAGAGAATAGTCTTTGTTTCTTTTCTGGAAGATTATAACCCAAAGAAAGGACAAGTCTGTAACTGTTCTGGCTATTCCATAAATTGTACACATTAGGATCATGTAGCAGATGGAGACACGTTTCTACCCAGGATTCATGTTTCCAGCAAATGTTAACAGGGTGAAAAGAACTGCCATTTCACAAAGGGCCATAGCTCTGTCTGATGGCAAACAGCTTTACACTCCTTTTTCACCACAACTGGCAAGTATCTATGTCTGTACAGCAAGGGAATGAGAAAAGACATGCAGAGGAGACTGCCAGTCCCATACTTGGCTTTAGGGCTTTCTAAACCAAGGGAACAGCTAGATAGGAGTGTCTAAAATAGCACACCATACACCGAGGATGCCAGGGAATCCAGGATGCATAAGAGAACTGAATAGGATGCAAGAGGTGTGAAGCTCCAAGGGCCAGGGTACAGGTAGGCAGGACAGCTTCTATTGGATCAGGCAGGAAAAAACACGGGATAATCAGGGGTAACCAATATCCCCAGCAACTCATCATGCACTGTGGGATTGAGCAAAGGAAGAACAGTCACAATATTAGCAAAGGGCTAGATTTAAAGTCAGGTGAGATGAACACTAGGACTTGGCTCACATGTGTCATCTGTGTTTCTGTCCTTGTCTCAGGGAACTTCTTCGC